CTTATTAGCTTTTTCTTTGCAACGCAATAGCATTCCTAAATAATTTTTGGTATTCATGGTTTTGTAACTTTCACAGTATAGGTGAGCTCTTGTCACCTCTGTTATAGGGGTATAGACAGTTATATGTACTGTTGATTATCGGTTACTAATAAAAAGTGTTTCCCAGGACACTAGTTTAGTAGGAAGTAATGGTAATTATGCAAATGCATCCAGAGAGAAACCTGTTTAAGTATCACTTATGAGCTCATGGGTTACACATCTTTGTAAGGGGTTTGAAGGGTTTTTTTTCTTAGGGAAGGGCTTACAACCAGGAGGACATTTTATCTTGTTCACTGGTAAATCAGGGCCTATAACTGGGGGGCTTATGAGTTGGGGGGAAGGCTTAAAAGCAGTAGTTTATGCCTGTGCCAGACATTCAGGTATTGGGGAAGGTGCAAAGAGAACAAAACTAAAAAAAACCCTGCTTTTTTTAATGCTCTGCTTCTCACCATCTAAATACTTAGAACGTGTTATCATAAGCTATATAGCTGTACTTTCTTATCTGGAACAGTGAAATGTAGAGTGATATATGCACTGTATATAGACTGTACGCTTAAAGAGATCCCCCCATTAAGAAGTACACTTGAGTAACACACAACCCAAAAGCATTTTCTTGGGTAGCTGTTCTCATCACGTTTTGAGACTGGAGTGCAAGACCTGCAAGGTTTGAAATTGGGGATAGAACAAATCACATAGTTTGGTCAAAATTTGGCAAGGCAAGAAGCATACTGTGGGGTGAATCTGAACTGATTTTTGGGGAATAGTGCCCAGCACCTAATCCCCACCCTCTGCAGTTGTATTGAAACTGAATGTGGTGCTTTATAGAATTAAAGCACAATATCTGCTCACAGGTTTTGATAATGTATAATTTTTTAGTTCCCTTAAAATTCATTATTTTGTGTTATAACATGAGGCCTGCAACTAGGAAAAAGGTTTAACCAGAACTGAATCATTGACCAGTGGAAGCAAGTTCAATTTGGCTCATCATTATTTGTCAATAACCAAGTAAACTAAGATGCCCTATGCTTCAGTAAGCCAATGCTGTGTGCAAGCTCGAGGAGGGGTGGAGAGCAGGTGTGGTTAGGACTGCGAGTAAACTATGATATTACTGTTGATCAAGCTATAATGTTATCCACCCTATCAAAGGTGACATACTACGAAATCCAGTTGTTATCATCAACAACCACTTACCCCGGTATGATGCAAAATAGACTACTCTAGGCTGTTGTTCATTTATCATTTTGTTTGTTGACACCTCAGTTGTCCCTGACATCGTCAAAAAATCTAGACCAGTTTTTACATAATGTATGCCTAGTATAAACAGTCAAGTTTTCTTGTATTTTAGAATTCTTAAACCAAAAAGGTTGAGAACATTGTGCTACCCTATGTAGTGATCAGATAACATAATTATTTATCAAGAAAAATTGTGCAAAACCTGTTTCTTTGTTAACTGTACATCAGTTATAAATAACCCCAGAGCCCCTTGTTTATCTTTGTCTAAATGCCACACAACTGGAAGCCAAGCAAGGACTGTTACGATGAGAGTAGGGCCATTTATACGAAGAAAAATAAGACGCGTCTTAAATAAGACGCGAACTTCCCGTATAAACGGCACATTTCGTCTAAAGTAAGACGCGGCTTAGCTAAGACGCGTCTTATTAGATAAGACATGCTCGTATAAATGGTACAGTTCGCGTCTTATTTAAGACGTGTCTTATGTAAGACGCGTCTTATTTTTCCTCGTATAAATGATCCTAATATCTTCTTGCAAAACATTTGTAACAAATCGGCCACATAGCCTTTCCTTTCACAGCCCAATTCTTACTTTTAAAATAAAAATTAAAAGAAAGCCTCCTAATTATGGAAGCATGATTTAAGCATTAATTAAGTGGAAGAAAACGTGGATTGGAAAGAGTACATGCTCTATCATCTTTACACAATTAAAAAACTGTCTTTGGCATGCAGCCCAAAATGATTCATAAGCAATTCAGTTCTGGCTTTGTGCACTGCCATCAGTAGTCTAATGAAATAAAGGCATATAACAAAATATTATCTTGACCTTAGTATAGCAAAAGAGATGCTCTTTCAGCAGAAAATACGATAAATTAAAAGCACACTGCAATAAACTTAACGTACGTATCATTTCTGTAATGTAGTCGGAGCTTGATTTCCTTTCTTACTGTAGCACCGACGAATATCCAGAGGAATTAGAAAAACTGATTAGGCTTATTAATAACGCCATACAAGTACAGTATCAATCGCTTGATTTTTAACGAGCAAGGAGCAACAGTAAGAGCTAACTAACCGTTACTCCTCCTTTCAGTTTCCCAGGAGATGCGACGGTCGAGACAGGGGCAAAGTTTAGCGCACAACGAAGGCAATACTATACTTTCATTGTCAAGGCTCGTTGTCTTCGTAGAAACTTTTCAGACTTTACCTGCAATTCTCTTCTTCACTGCTATTGCATATAAACAAAACAGGATTGTCGCAATCAACGAAACTTAGACACTGATTTTATGTTTGCAGGTTGAGAGGGCACGAAGTAAAATGTTATGCGCAGTAGATTATATTTTTAATTTGCTTTGCGCATTCAATTGCCTTCAGCCAATGAAAAAATTCGTATTTTCCGTTGCGTCCAGAGCCACTGGTCGGTTACAAATTAAGCCGAGTGGCTCTGGGGACGAGAATGGACAAATGCTGTCTACATACATGTGACGCATGCGTAATAACAACCTGGAGATTACGAATGCGGGCTCCTCTTGTTGCCCCCAATTAGTCAGGGTTGCACTTAGTAGAGTCAAGCACATTTGTGATTGAACCCTGGATTTCACAGGTTCAGAGCACCTGGCTCCTTTCAGTTTTTCTTAGAGCATATAGCCAAGAGTTTTTTACTCTTGCAGTGAAGAGGACTTCTCTTAGGGTTATAACAAAGGACTCTTGACTTTTTACTTGCCTTCTGCAGGGCTAAAAAAAGTCAAATCCGCTAGTCCGCTGAGGAAAAGAGATATTCTTGCTGGTCAAGTAACTTTTAAAGCTGACTTGACTGAAGGTTTCAGCCAAGTCATCCTCTAACAAAATCATAATACACTTTAGACAAACAAGAAATGGCCTTGAACAAGCCAAATGTGAGGGCTGCTTGCCCAAAGAACAAGCTGGAATTAATTTTTTTTTCAAGCTCTGCATCAAAAGCACAGCCTTAGGCTTTATTGTTTTTTTGGTTTGTTTGTTTATATCTGTTCAACTGCTTTTGCTAATGATACTGAAATGACTCCTTACCCGTAACAGCAACCTGTATCTTCCTGCTGAATGTCTCTATTCCAGTATCAGTGTCCCTGACAAAACACTGGTAATTTCCACTCTGTGCACTCTCAAGGTAACTTCCGTATAAGGTTCCATTGGCACCAACAGTGAACTTAATACCACCCGTCGTAATTGCTGTGCCATTGTGCTTCCAGGTCCATTGCAAGTTACTCCCAACAGCATCACATGGTAATTTCAAGGCATTTTGTCTACTAAACTTAACATCCTCGGGAGCAAGTAAATCCTTGGTTGGAAAGTTAACAATTCTTGGCGGGTCTACCACCTGTTGACCTGCAATTTTGACAAAGAGAATCATTGCAGTTAACTGTGACTTTTAAGCCCATTTGTAGGCCCAGCAACATGTACACATAAGGAGGCGTGTGTGACCAAGGGATTAACAGACCTTGAACTCTTGATCTGGAGGTCCGGGTTTCAAGCCTTGCTCATCGAGTTTCTCGCTGTAGCTGGTGCTGTTTCCGTCGCGTTACCCAAGAAATTTTCTGCATAACATGTGTATGGCTACAATTTGCGCCATAACAATGTATAAGGTCGCTCGTCTCGGTCGGTAGGGTGGTGATGATGTCAGTAGAGAGGTTCCTTTATACCATTTATACTGGTCTTTGCTTGGCCGTGGAGCTGCTTTGGTTAAGTATTCCCCATCTTATACGAAAGTTCAGTACCCAAAAGGACACCCACTAGACTCCCGCTAGAGCCCGCTTAATGGAGGTATCCACTAAATACAAGATTGTTCTACGAAAAATATATAGGCTAGCTGAGGCATGGAATTTACCATCAAGCCCATACCTCACGAGTGAACGCATATCGATTTGAACGCAAGTGGTTAAATGCCATGAATTTATATGTATTATGCAAACTAATATTATGTCAATCAAAAAAGTTATTGTTGCCCCCCCCCCCTTTTTTTCTTAGTACCTTTATAAACCCGAGCAAACATGCAATGGATGTAAGGCGACGACTATGGACTTCAACGGCAGGTGTCTTCATGGTAATACAAGTAGTTCACTGATTGCCTGATATTAACACACGTAAAATTATGGTAGTTTTACGTGCGATCGGTGACAGTTTTTCTTAGTGGCAGAAATCCCTCTAAAAACTGTAGTTCATATAACAAAAGATAATATATATGATATATTTTTTGGCAAGACAAAATAAAGAGATTTTTATATCTTGGGTGATGCTTTCTTCAATAGGGGGGGGGGAATACATGATAATGTCAATATTGGGTACAACAAACTAACTCTGAAGACACTCTGAGAAAACTGGGTTTGAGGAGAGATGTATTGTTGCTGCATGCTATAAACTCATATAACGCGCGACAATCACTTTCTTATCATATTAACCATAGATAAAATCTCGTTAACACAAGGATTGTATGCGCTGACAGAATGAGGGGTAGGAAGGGGATGATATTGTTTTGATTCGATGACATCGTCGTATTGTGCAAACTGGTTTCGTACAGATTTTTGGATCCAAAATTCAAGGACTTTTTCCAAAACAACTTTTTCCAAACCAACAAATACCAAAAATGTACACGATGGTTGTCATAAACGGTATTAAACCCAAAACCAACGGGCGTTGCTAGAGCACAGCCCTACAAAGGGCAACCATACATGTCCTGCCATTTGTTCGTCACTGTTAAAATCTGGTCATTTCTGACAACTGCAATACCATAAATTTCGCACCCTGTTGTAGTTGGCAGGTCTCACAAAACATTACATCTTGAGTAAATTCATGACTTGCGTAATTACCGTTTGTCAGTGTTGTAAGACAGATGACTGGAAGACAGAGAATAATCTTCCACATTCTGAAGAATCAAATACTCCTGCAACAAACACAAACAAAAAAAAAACAATGTTTCATTCATTATAGCAGAGCCTCCATTGCTATAGAAAATGGCAATCTATCGATGCGAGAAAATTTGGTTATGACGTCAGCGTACGCCCGCCCGCACGCCCCTACGAACTAGCAGGAAGGGCTAAGCAGACTCTACAAGGGAGGGAAAGGAGAATCTAAGAAATCCAGCTTGCGTTTGTCTTGGCGAAACGTTAACCAGCTTACCTAAAGGCAGCCAATGGAGTTTTTCCAGTAAAGATCTTGAATTTCTAGGATTGTTTGCCTTACGACAAAGACCTTTGAAAAATATTGCTTTTAGCTTGGTCACGCTCCGACCAATCTAGTCTCAGATTGGACAAAGTTTTGACAGGTGAACGCGTAAGTAAAAACTTGTGCTGCATCACCAAGTTTGTTTACCGACAACTGACTGAAACCTCGTGTACTTTTAAGTTTTAAACTTTTTGTGTTCTTTCAATGCTGCCACAACATGAAATACAGTGCCCCTTTCAAGATTCTTTTGTTGTTCAAAGTTAGTTTGCTGTTGTCGTTGTTGAGGAAACTCGGTCATGTCCTCTTGCGATCGGATATGATTACTGGACAGATCAAATACCAAGAGCAAGCAGTTTGTAGCTAAAGACTTAAATGGCAATTACAGAGATGAAATAAAGTGATCATTAAGTATACCCAAAAACTTTTCTGGTTTGTCTGGTTTGACCTGGTCAAAAAGGAAAAAAAAATGCAGGCATCCTCTGTTATTTATACAACCAATCCTGTTTTATCTTTATTAAGCAGCCACGCTATGAAATGGGACAAGTGGCAAATTAAGAAGAGGTCACTTAAATTAAATGTAACGAAGATCATCGCAGTTTTATTAAGCCAACAGTATTCAAAGTAGGGCTGTGCTAGACTCAAACGTTTTTCATCTATCTGTACCCTTATAAGCACTTACATGAAGGGGCGTGCCCTTTAATTAAGCCATAAAGCTCGGGATTAACAGGAATTACGTTGTTCCCGGGGTGTTTTCTTGCTGTTTCTCTATATACAGTGGAATCCCGATTTCTCGAACCCTCGGTTTCCCAAACCTCCCGATATCTCGAACTAAACCTTTTTTCCCTTGGATTTGCTCCACTCAAGCTCTATAATTTCATGCCCGATTTCTGGAACCCTCGATTTCTCGAAACTCCCGATAACTCGAACCAGTTTTGGCTCCCGTGGGACAAATTGACCCTCGATAACTCGAACCTGCGAAAATTTCGAAACCACTTAGTGCGGAAGTCAATTACATTCACGCCTTCAAACAAATTGACCCTTCCGGATAAGCTGTTTTTTCATCTCACAACAAGCCACAAATCCGTCTGTCATCAGTCTGAAAGGTACAATGACTGTGTTCTGTTATGTTTCGTTTTTGTTTTTTAAGTACAGTACGTTTTGTTTGTGAATAAAGGTCCAGATCTACATCAAAAAGGATGTATTTTTGTTAACATTTGAACACTTACTCATAATCACAGAATACCCGGTCAATTAAACGTAATTTGATTCCACTTTCGATTTCTCGAACTCCCGATTTATCGAACCAATTTGCGTTTCCCTTAGTCCAGGCATTTTATCGCCAAAAGACGGTCAACCTGCCACTAATTGCAAAAGGTTTTTTAACGGTTTTTGGTCCAGGAACATGTCCTCTACAACATATCAAAAGTCCCCGAAAATCCGAGTTGGGGAAGTTGACAAAAAACGAGTTTTTTTAGAGCCCTATATAGACAAATACTGCGCAGCATGGAAACGAGGTTGCATGCACTGCCTGTTGTTTTGCTCGAGTTTGAAGCCACGTGCAGGATGGGTTAGTGAAGATCGAGAGGATTTATTGTGTTTTGTTCCTAGGTAAGTGCATTTATGTACCTATTAAATAAAATAAAAGTTATGTATAAGATTCTTTAATTAGAAAAAAACATGTAAAACCTGTAGAACATAGCTACTATCGTTAACTATCTCGGTGAAGTATTTAGCGAGGAATAGCTGAGGAATTATGTCTTCCACAAGCGAATTTAGAACTTAAAACGGATATTTTCACACTGAAAGTAAAAGTAATGTCATGTTCTAAGATAATTTAATTCAAGAAAAAAATATCTCACTCAAGCATCTTGAGTAGAGACTTCCCAAATCAATTTTACCTTGGTGAAAAATCTGTTTTTCACTTATCGCTTCGCGCTTACTTTTTTGTCTCAAAACTTAAACTCATTAGTAAATTCATCTATTTTTTCCGTCAGAATTTAAAGAAAATGTCCAGGAATCGTACTGAAATTAATAAAACTGGCGAAAATTTTCGCTTAAGACGAAGGAAATGCTTTCTTTCACTTATGAAGTAATAAATTAAGCGGACGCGCTGCAAATTTTGCACTTTGGTTCAAGTTGAAAATTAAAAGGTCCAGGAGAATTGATTCCAATACACTTCAGGAATTTCGTTCATATTTAAACTTAGAGTTTCTATTTTAAAAAGAAAATTACGGCATTGAAGATATCCTAACACTCAACCAGCCTCAAATTACGCGAGTCGGATGACTTAAAAATCGGTCCTTCAATGAAAAAGGTTTCTACAAGATGTTATTTATGCTAACAATATATAGCGTTTTGAACACAAAACAAATTTGATTGATTTCAAAAACTGAAAAAAGGCAATTATGGCGTTATGCCCTGAACGTTCGTCTTGTTAATTGACAAGCTTCAATTTGCCATTTGCCTATAATTTCAGACTAAGAGTTCCAAGTACTAATGGATGAAACAGCGAATTGTATTATTTGTAAAAAAAGTCTCAATGGCGAGGGCGACGTCGTGACTTTGAAAGAAAAGGGAAGCGAAGGGATAAACCGGGCCAGCGCAGAGCGGGTTGATAACATCACTACGGTCCCTGGGCAGCAGGTACATCAGAACTGCCGGCGAGAGTACTGTCGTCCCAGCAGCATCAATCGAGCCAAAAAATCGGTCTCAGATGAAACAACTAGTAGTCGTCGCTCCCTAACTCGCAAAGCGGAACAATGTTTTTCCTTCAAGACTGATTGCTTCTTTTGTGGTACCAAAGTTGAATTAGGGTTGAATTCGAAGAGAAAAAGACTGGGTGAAGCATTCAGGGTAACAACAATTGAAACAAAGGACATGATATTAAAAATTTGTTCGGAGAGGAACGACGACTGGTCGGAAACAATAAGAGCTAGGCTTATGAATGTCCACGATTTGCCTGCGGCTGACGCTATTTACCACCAAACCTGCAATGTGAACTTTCGCACAAATAGGCAATTACCTCAAGTTTATGAGGCAGATGAGCTGCCTGTCATGAAAAAGAGGAAAATCGGTCGCCCCCAAAATGAAGAAAAGAACCAGGCTTTTGTAAAAGTTACGAAGTTTCTCGAAGAGAATGACGACGAGCAGATAACAGTTGGTGATCTAGTGGAGAAAATGAAAGAATATTTGAATGATACAGAGAGTGAAGCTTATGGATGGTCACACATGAAAACCAAACTTTTGGAATACTTTGGAGATAAGATCATTATAACGGATATTAACGGTAAGCCGAACGTAGTAACTTTCAAAACCACGGCTACAAGAGTTTCACGCCCACCAAGATGTTTTAGATATCAAAGAAGAACAAGAGAACATCATCAAAACAGCAGCTAAGCTAATTAAAAACGACCTCAAATCAATCCCGACATCAAGTGACAGCTACCCTACAATAACAACCGATGCCGAATCACACGCCCGCTACCTTCCCGCTTCGCTTTCAATCTTTTTGAGTGTTCTTAACTCGGAGAAAAATAACACACTGAAGGTAGCGTCTATCGGGCAGGCAATTGTTCAAGCTGCTCGGCCACGGGTAGTTATCGCACCTCTACAGATCGGGCTTGCAGTTCAGTTGCACCACAATTTCGCCTCACGCTTCCTTATTGACACCTTGCATCAACACGGATTTTGTTCATCATACCAGGAAGTACAAATGTTCAACAAGAATGCTGCGCTTAGCCAAGGAACTGATATACCTTCTTTTAACGGCGAGTTTGTTCAGTACGCAGCCGACAATGTTGACCACAACATTAGGACTCTCGACGGGCATAACACCTTCCACGGTATGGGAATGATTGCAGTCGTAACACCTGGCACCAAACACAGTCGTAATGTCGCGCGACGCAAAGTTACTCCCGAAGAAATCTCGGCAACTGGAAGGGTAGAAATACATCCATGCGGGCCCCGACAGGTGAACGTGGAGATCAAATATAAAGACTTGGTTCTTGTACGAGCAGAAGACCCCACTGCTAGCCTTGACATCTTATGGAAGACTTCTCTACTGTTTGGCAACCCACGCCCATCTTGGAGTGGAATGATGCAACTTGTTCACCAAGGAAGACACCAGGGCAAGTCTTCTGTTATGTTCCTTCCTATGATCGATATGAATCCAAGTGATGTTACGTGTGTCTCTTCCACCTTGCACTTTGTTTCCGAGCATGCTAAGCAACACAGTATTGCAAATCCCATCGTCACGTCTGACCAGCCACTGTGGTTAAAGGCCTTTAACATCATACAGACGGAGCCAGCTAACAGTGATTTGCGCAAAGTTATCGTGCGTCTAGGTGCCTTTCACGCGGAGATGAGCTTTCTTGGAAGTATTGGCCATCTGATTGCAGGGTCCGGTTTACGAGAAGTGTTGGAATTGATATATGCGTCTAATGCGGTAGACCATATAATGACCGGAAAAGCTATTTCCCGTGCAGTGCGTGCACACCTCATTGTCGACGCTGCATTGAATGCACTTCTGTATTCGGAAGCTCTGGAGGTGCCTGTACCGCATCTTCACCATACAGGTATGAAGTTTTTATGTAGTTGCAATCATTTACTGTTGCCTATAAAATATGTCTTGTCTTTTTTAATGTTTGAATATTTTATCACTTTTGGGTCATAGCTTCTGCGGATACAACAAATAGCGACGAGAGCCCAGAACATGCGGCAACAGCATATAGAGAAGCTGAGACTGGGCAGAGAGGTACTGTCTTTCTTTAAAAATAATGACAAGATACTCCTTACAATACCACCTCGAAGCAGACAGCAATTACATGAGTTTTTTTCTACATGTTGTCATTTCAGATAAACAGTGTACTTTTGTGCCTGAATTACCTGATGAGTTTGCCGTGTCAGCGATCGACTCCCCTCACGCACAAGGTGCATATAGCAGTAAGTATATATTTAAGGCAATAATTTTACCCCCAAAACTGATGTTTTAACAAGAAAAAGCATTAAAATGTTTTAATTTAATATTGCAGGCGGCCAACGTCTCTTGGAGACGATACCAGAAGACACTCACTCGGACACTGTAATTCTAAAACTTGAAGAGGCGCGAGCACTGTTTGATAAGCTGATGGAAAAGAAAGTCTCAGCTGATGAAGCAAGCATCTCAGAGGTTCTTGATAACATTGAAGAATGCGTACACAGAAAGCAAGACCTCCTAGCTGAGAGAAGCCGCACAGCAGCTCTGTGGATTAAGTACCTAGAAATGGTAGACATATTGCGCTCCTTTATAAGAGCAGAGCGCACAGCGAATTGGGAACTTCACCTAAAGGCATTGACCAGAATGCTGCCACACCTTGCTGCGTCAAGCCACAACTTGTACGTAAAGTGTGCTCGACTTTACCTACAGTCGATGACAGACCTCCGTACGGACCACCCGGATGTCTACCGAGACTTCGCGTCGGGTCTTCACGTAGCAAGAAGAAGTAATCGATTTTGGGCTGGATTATCGATAGACCTAGTCATCGAGCAGGTTCTTATGAGAAGTCTGAAAACCTGTGGTGGCTTGACCAGAGGGAGGGGCCTAACGGAGCAGCAACGTCTTATCTGGCTGTTATCCATGCCTGCGTGTGTCGAAACAAACCACATCATGCAAGAGCTGACAGGAGTTCAGTTTAACTCTGGAGAACAGAACAAAGATATGTCTAAGGCACGACAGACAAGAGATATGAAGGACACAGTGACCATCCTCAGGGCTCTGGCTACCCACAACCCTTTCTCTCTCGACACTGACAGTAATCTAAGAAACATCATGAATGGTGTAAACGCCGATAGTAATGTCAATGCTGACACAGCCAAGATTGTCGGGGAGAAGATTCTATCGTCGATGAATGGAACGTTAGCCACTGATTACTCATTCAAACGAAGTGCCCAGGCAGTCACCATGGCATCGAAGTCCTCCGTAAAGATTGACAATGACCAAGTACAAGTTGACCCTCAACTTTTATTTCAGCGGCTCATTATCGCCTGTGATAACTCCCACCCTGAAGCATTATTTCAGTACGATCTCTGCACGTATCCCACGGCTCTTTTCGATTCCCCATTCACGTTAAGGCAGCCACAAAAGCCAGCGCTAGCAGATGCACTATGGACAAGGCTTACACCAGAGGCCAAGACGCAGCCTGAAGGGAATGTACAATACGTGCTGGACGGAGGCGCTCTTCTCCATCGAGTGCCCTGGCCAAGAGGTTCTCCATCATACAAGGAAGTCTGCGACTTGTATTGCACTTACGTGCAAAGGAAATACGGAAGGGCGATAGTAGTGTTTGACGGGTACGACGAGATGTCAACTAAAGCTATGACACAGCAGAGGCGCGCATCAGGGAAGGTTGCTGCCACTGTCACCTTTACAGAAATCATGTCTATAACGATGAAGAAGGATAACTTTCTCTCGAATCCCAAGAACAAACAAAGCTTTCTGTTAATGCTAAGCGAGGCTCTCCAGAATGTAGGATGTGTAACACACCACGCAAATGGTGACGCCGACCTGCTTATAGTCCAAACAGCTGTAGAGTCTGCCCGAACGAAAACCACGATTCTAGTAGGGGATGACACAGATTTGCTTGTCCTTCTTTGTTATCATGCTTCCGAAGATGGCTGCGACCTCTATTTTAGACCAGAACCAAAGGGAAACGCAAGAGGTGCGCGCGCCTGGCATATGAAGAGAGTCAAAGAACAGCTGGGTAAGGAAGTTTGCAGAAATCTCCTTTTCCTTCATGCTGTCACTGGATTTGACACAACATCACGCCTCTATGGAGCTGGCAAGGCCACAGCCTTAAAGAAATTTGAGAATGTACTACACTTCAAACAGCAAGCTAACGTCTTCAGCCGTCATTCTACCGTTTCCGACGTTGTCAGTGCAGGTGAAAAAGCACTTGTATCGCTTTTCAGTGGTAAACCAGGGGTAGGTCTTAACGCTCTCAGATATCAGCGTTACTTTGAAAAACTTGCTAACAAGACGTCTCATATTGAGCCGCAGAATCTGCCCCCGACAGCAGCAGCTGCCCGATTTCACAGCCTGCGCGTCTACCTACAGGTAAAGCAGTGGCAGGGAGAAGGTGCTGGCATGTCAATGGAGGACTGGGGTTGGAAAGTCAGTAATTATCAAGTATTTCCTGTTGCAACGGATTTGCCGCCTGCCCCAGAACCTCTTCTCCAGTTAATCAGATGCAACTGTTCGTCTGACTGTAGCAGTATGAGGTGCATCTGTCGCAAGAATGGTATGCAGTGTTCTCCGGCTTGTGGCCAATGCAAAGGGTCTTCGTGCACAAATTCTTTGAACACTGTAGACTACGAAAGTGAAGATTCGGAAGACTAGCATGTTTAAAAATACGTTATATATAGCACATGTAGAATTGAATTACAGGGGGTTGTCTGGTATAGGACTTTTTTGTCGCGTTTAAGCATTTTTGACTCGTAATGTTTCCGCAAAATCAAATCTCGCTGCGGGAAGTACATAGACTCTAAAAAACCTTAATATTTGATTTATTTAAATGACATATTTTTGGGAACTTCACTTATAATGCCTTAAAATTGGAAAATTAAACGAGACTTACCTGTAAGTTGAAGTTTGATTGAGATTCTATCACATGACATCAGAAGGCAAGAGATCCCATGAGATAGCACAGCGCTTGCGCAAGTCATAATTAAAAGCCACGTACTGGGTGCATCAAAAACAACATAACATGTAGGCTAAAGACACCAAACAGAAAACCCAAAAGCAACCAAGTTGCCTAAAAACGGGTGGGTGTTATGTGGAGGGCATGTGATCTCTTGCCTTCTGATGTCATGTGATAGAATCTCAATCAAACTTCAACTTACAGGTAAGTCTCGTTTAATTTTCCAATTCTATCACATGACCAGAAGGCAGAGATCCCATGAGACTTCAAAGCGTGGATGCACCCGTACGACATGCGCTCAAACAAGAGGCATGAAATCCAACAAACAATAGACCAAACATAAGCAATGATAAACATGTTATATTAAAATGGTCTAACAGTAACAAATTATGCAATAAAGCACACATGAAAAAACAAAATATTTCACTGGCCAAGAATAGCGGCAGTTAGTCGGTTTCCTTGAACAACAGGTTTGTTGTAATATTTACGAAAGGTCTCTGCGGACTTCCAGCCCGCGTTAGCCATGATCTCGTGGATAGGGACGTCCTTTTCATTTGCTTTGGAAACAGATGCTGACCTTGTGCTATGTGCAGTGAACACATTGGTATCAATCCCACAAATTCTAAGAGTTTCTTTAGTCCACCTTGAAACCGTGTCCCGAGAGACAGGTTTGTGGGGCCTTACATAACTAATAAACAATTGAGTTTCGCTATTACGCAAGTTCTTTGTCTTGTTAATATATGCTTTCAGACAGGCCAAAGGGCAAATTGTACTGTCTGGCTCATAAACGGAAATGTCAATCTTCGTATGTGGGCTCCTGGGAGTACTAGTCTTGATATGCTCAGCGAGGTCAAAGGAATAATTATCTTCTTCCATGGTAACATGCTGAAGATCTAGCAAGTGTATCGATTGTCCCCGTTGACTGGAAACTAATAGAATAAGCATAAGGGCCTTGTATGTCAAATCCTTTAAAGGCAATTTTTCATTGGGGTATAGGGAAGATAAATGTTTCAGAACCACCGAAACATCCCAAATTTTGTCGTATTTAGGTTTAGGTTTGCGGGTTTCAAATACCCCTTTCATAAAACGTGTAACAACATGATTGCTGCCAAAACTTTTCTCCCCGTCTATCATGACAATGGTAGATAAGGCAGAGCGAGCTGTATTAATAGTGGAGTAGCTAAGTCCTTGATTAAATAGGTCAGTGAGAAATTGGAGGGTGTCGCTCAGTGGTGGTGCATAACAATCAATTTTCCTTTCACGACAAAATGCCATCCATTTTTTAATGTATGTGGCATACTGTTTTTGAGTGCCTTTTCTCCAAGATGCCATGAGAATGTCGGTAACCTCCTCTGGAAGGTGGTAACGGCTGAAGGATCCCCTGACACAGGACAGACCATCAGATGAAGATTTTTGTGTAGAGGATGTGGGCCGCTGCGTGACGGGTGTTGTAGAAGGTCTGGGCGTGAGAGCAGAATCCAGGGCTGATCGCATAGGTGCTGTAGGAGGACTGGGAACCACGTTTGGGTTGGCCAGAGAGGGGCAATCAGAACTCCCTGTGCTCGGTCGTGACTGATCTTCTGAAGGCATCTTGGAAGAAGGCTAAAAGGTGGAAAAGCATAAAATTGATGCCCTTTCCAATTCATAGTGAACGCATCTATATGTGAACTACTAGGGTCTGCATGCCACGAGCAGTAACTATTTATCTGATTGTTTAGACGGCTTGCAAACAAATCGAAATCGAGTCCGGGGTGGCGCAACATGATCTTGTCAAACGAGTGTTTGTCTAACATCCACTCGTGATTATCTGAGAACACGCGTGATTGTTCATCAGCGCCAGTGTTCAGCCGACCAGCTATGTGCACAGCCGAGAGCCAAATGTTGCGTGCAGTACACCATTCCCAAATTTCAACAGCTAGTTCATTAAGTTGTTGTGATTTTGAACCCCCCATGTTGTTAATGTAAGCCAAAGCTGTCGTATTGTCGATTTGAATTTGGATGTGGCAGTTGCCCATATGGTTGCAAAAAACACTTTAACGCAAAAATGCTGCGAGTAATTCCAATATGTTTATATGAAATTCCTGTTCCAAAGGGGTCCATCTCCCCCGTTTTCTGCGTGCCATAAACAGCCCCACCCCAGTGTTGACGCGTCTGATTGAATTGAAACGCTTGGATGATCTTGGTGAATATCTCGTTTAAGAGTGTCAGCATTATTGTGCCACCACTGAATCTCTGCTAGCGCGGGAGGGGAGATTTGCATTTTGCCCGCGAAATCACCCTTGTTAGCTATGAGCGCGAGATATTTATCCCGTTCAAGGTGGCGGTAGTGTAGGGGTCCGTACTGAGCCCCGGGAAAATTGGACACCAGAATGCCAATGACCTCTGCGACCTGTCTGATTGTGGGCATTTGTGTTTGTAAAAGCGTAGCACAGACAGACCGAATCCGTTGCGCTTTATCCTCCGTGGGCGTAACTGTCATGGCAATAGAATCAATACAAAACCTAAGAAGGTCAGTTTCTGGGAAGGGATGAAAACTGATTTCTCAGGATGGACATGAAAACCTAATTGAGTAAAAAGCGTGACGGTGTCAACTACATTTTTATAACATTCCTTGAGGTGTCTCCTTGTAGATAAGAATCATCAATGTACCCTGAATTGAGATGTCCCATACTCCGAAGTGTGGAATACACGGGCTTCAATAATTTTGTAAATATGCGCGGGGCACTAGCTAGCCATTCGGCAAACAGGTATATGTGTAGAAAACACCATCAAAATAGAACTTTAAGTATTTCTGGTGAGATGGATGGATAGGGACGGTATAATAAGCGTCCTTTAAGTCTACCGAAGCCATAAAACAACCTGGTCTCATCATGTTTACTGCAGCCTCTAGTGTATCCATTTTAAAATGATGGTAGGCTATATATTCGTTAAGGGCTTTGAGGTTTAAAATGGTGCGGTGCGTGCCATCTTTTTTTCGGCCGCAAGAATATTGTGGATACAAATTCTCCTGTTTCCTGTGCCGCGGGGATAATGACCCTTTTGCGAGCAGTGTATCAATTTCCTCTGTGACAATTGAATGCTGATAAGCGTTGAAGACACTAGGGTCTACCATAATGTTGCGTGGGTGCAACACTGTTTATAAATTCAATTTTAACTCCAGTAACAATCTGAAGAATAGAAGGGTCGGTTGTAATAGTTTGCCACTGCGGCAAAAAGTGTTTAAGTTTCCCGGCTTGGAAACTTGGTTGTGAATTTACCAAACTATTTACAATGTCAAGAGACAAAGATGTCGCATCTGCGTTACATACCTCAGGCACCTTTACGGGCGCTGGCTCGTTTCGCCGTCCTTTTTCTTTCTTGGCGGCTTTGAGAAACGGCTTTTCCCTAAAAAATCCGAGGTTTTCCCTCTAGGGTAAGGCTGAAATCTTCTCTGCGAGCCATACGCTGGGCGCCCACCGTACTTGTCATGGCCACGGGAATTCCCGGAATGTTGTGGGCGCACCTTTTTGGTCAACTTGTTGGCCTCGGTGATGTCTTTTGCTAACTTTGTCAGGTCGCCAAAAAGGAGCTCTGATGAGCCATCCACAGTGGACACATTACAAAGGGCTGCATAGTCTTTATGCATCTCTTTTTTCATGGCCAGGCGTCGGGAGTGATTAACCTCATGGTTGTACTGAAGTGCCATTGCAACGGAATCAGTCAACAAGGTGATCAGCTCCTTATCTTGGCTGTATTTTCCCAGAGCCAAATCGGCGGCCTTTGTCATGGCTGTTATTGCGCCGATAAGGGTGCTTTGTCCTTTCTGCGATCGGACATCCTGTGCTTTCAGGGCAGTGGAGAGCTGGCTCCAAATCGAAGGGTTTACTTTGGGTGTGCGCAAACCCTGTACGTTCTCTGGACGGGGGTATTTGTCTAGCTTTGCCTTTAGTTTCTCCTCCCCCATCTTTTCTGATAAGAGATTGTTGAAGATGGCCGCCAGCCCTTCGCGAAGGGGTGGGGAGGTCTTCTCGCTGACTGTCAGGTCCTGTGCGAGTTCTTTTAGAAGTTCGTCACCCGGCATAGCCTCGTTGTTTCGATCTGTTCCCGCAGCCGCGAGGAGCGCAGAGACATCTGCATCCATGTCCCCAGAATTGGCGGGCTCGTCAACAGAGGCGGTTTCACCGTCCTCATCTGATTCTTCGTGCCCGCTCTGGAGCACGGTGGTGACGTTGTTGTTTAGGCTGCTTAGCTGGCTTAGAACTGGAGCCAATGCAGTCTTAAAAATATCCGCGAAAGTGTTAGCTGAGGGCATATTTTGGCTGGTATCTTGAGCGGCCATTGACGTTCCAGTGTCCGCGCTCTCTGTGCTGTTTTCGGACATGATTCCAATATCGGCACCCAACTACGTTAGGGCCTAAGCTGGACAAACAATTGAGGCAACTACGTTGGCCTCTCCAGCAGATCGTGTTTCGAAGGTTTTAAGCTGAAAAACTGGAGCTTAAAAATTCGTGACTTAACGCGTTAAACGCAAATCGTGCAATGACTTGCGCAAGCGCTGTGCTATCTCATGGGATCTCTGCCTTCTGGTCATGTGATAGAATAATTGTTTTTAAGGATATATTCTTAGGTTTGGCGAAATGGCTCGATTTATACCAATAAAAAAATGCGAAACAGCAACTTCCGGTTTACAGCCTCGTTTTCATGCTATGAGAAAAAGGGA